AAGTGATTTCTGTAGGCACTTTCTCCTTTGCCTGACCCTTCGCTCCCCCCTCATAGAGCAGAGAGGTTGGAGAGGAAAGGATTTCAAGAGAGTAAGCTGTTCTTTACATCAAAAGCAATGTGATCATACCTGCAGGGGGAAAGGGTCAGGCAAAGGAGAGCTTGCCTACAGAAATCGCTTGCTTTTTTTCTTCCTCCCCTCCCCTGCAGAGTGGCGAAATTGCAGAGAAAGGGATTTCAAGAGAATAAGCTGTTTGCGTAGTATGTGGCATGATTGCATTGCTTTTGATGTGTACAAGACAGTAAGCAGGCACTCAAGCATTCCAAAAGGCGGGGGAGTGATTAGGGGGCAAACAAAAGCCAAAGGCGTGAGTAGTCTTGTCTCTTTCCAGCCTTGTCTCTTTCCAGCCGGAAAGCATAGTCATGGTCACATGATTTCCTACTTAGCGACTGCTTCACTTAGCAGCGGGGCTGCTGGTCCCAATTAGGGTTGTTAAGTGAGGACTACCTGTATCAAAAAAATCACATCTGTTAATATCATCAGCAATCTCATCAGAGAAGTCTTTTAAGTATTGGGAACCTGTCAGGCTCACAGCTATGTATACAAGCTTTCCAAAATTCTGATTTTTGCTTGAAAGCTTGAATGTTATCATTGGCAACACATACTGTCAGTTGTTTTCCTTGAAATGACAGGTTTATTCATTCATGTACAAGAAAACGTCTGCCGGATACCCAAGTCTGAATAACCATAATTCGTCAGTTGTTCTTTCAAGTAAAAATGGTGTTTTGTGAAAAAAGTTTAGCTCGCAATGCAAACAAACAAATGCTTTCCCTCCAGACACCAACTGTACTTCAGTATGCAGAAGAAGTGCTTTATGCATACTTTGCATTTCGTCACACAGAATATTAAAAAGATGTGTACTCAAGATTTAATAAAATTAATGTTACTGCTTCATCAAGGATGTTCTTAAGTGATACTACCATTTTTTTTACTGTGAGTGCATGGCAGTGAAGAATACAGTGACTGCTAGTACAGTGTGGTGCCATTGCCTTGATTTGCACTAAGGCCCCAGCAGTTTTACCCCACTGTACACTCATGAGAAAATGAGAGTGAAAAAGTAAATAACATCTTAGTGTTATTATAAAAATTGTTTTGATCTCCTGGACCCCCTGAAAGAGTCTCAAGGACAAAGACAAATTAAATTTCCTAAAGTATTCTGTATAATTTGTGTTACATAAGCAAGGCTAGTCTGCATGTATAAAGGCAAAATTACTTAAGCAAATATGCTAATAGAGCCAACCAAGCTGGGCTAAACTGAGTATGCAGCATAGTCTAAAATAAATGATTTCAGCCTGAGCTGATCACTATAGCCCAGCTAGGTGGCAGCACCTAGATGTCCTTGGCTGATCTCAAAAAGCTAAGTAGAGTAAATGGGTTTGTGTTCGGATGGGAGACCCTCAGGGAAGTACCATGGCTATGTCTTAGACTAGGAAGTCGAAATAATGTCCTGGTAGCAAATCTATTCCAGTCAAACCCAACTCAAAGGAGGTTTTTCTTTTTGGCACACCATGTGGACCAAGATTGAAGCTTGCAAAGTAATGAGCAATTTTGGCTAAATGATTTAGAACATTTTCCTAAGCCTGGGTTCTTCTCTAAATGCAAATTGTTAGCTGAACAACAACATTTAACAGCCTTGACTTAATAGACTTTGCCTGAACAAATAGGGATGATGGGGGTGCCCTGCACCAGAACTGCAAGGCAGCAGCCCAGGCAGGAGTGCTCTGTCTCCCCACTGGCCAGCTGCCACTCAACAACATGGTCTGTATCCTTAACAGCTCCAGCAGTGGTGTCGCCTGCTTTCTCCCTCTACCACCCTTCTTGATTGCCCCGATAGCAGCAAGAAACATAAAGCCTGGGTGTTTGGGGGCTTGAAAAAAACCATTTGTCATTTAACTGACATTTTGCTTTAATGGATACAATAGTCCATTAAACTGATTTTGCTTCCTCATTTCTAGTAAGAACCCCAAAATCTTAGCCAACCCCCAATTCTAATTCTGAAGAACAAAGAATGAATTGTTGAGGAAACATTAGAGTTACTGGAAACCAAGAAGGTTAAATCATTTTCCTTCTCTTGATCTTAATCATGTAGAGAAAGTGGAATGGGTTTCTGTCCTCTGTTGAGGCTCTTTAGGAAAAGGGGGATATAAACTGCAGCAGACAAGCATTTTGCCATCCTTATAACCATTCTGTAAAGTGGTAGGTGAGTTTTATTATCTCCATCCTGAGATGATGGCATTGGAATGAATGTAGAGCTGGTGGCAGCTTGGAGTGAATTGCAAGTTCAGAGGCTTGTCTTACTTTTCCCTGGCTTTGTTCCCTTCCTTTTCTTTCCTCTCCGTGTCATCTCTCCTGCCAGCCAGCCTTACACTGTCAGCCCTGAAACTGGCCTGTGATTTCTTGTCCAAGGGTGGCTGGTTCATCACCAAGGTTTTCCGTTCCCGAGATTACCAGCCCCTTCTGTGGATCTTCCAGCAGCTCTTCCATAAAGTGCAAGCCACCAAGCCACAAGCCTCACGTAATGAGTCGGCGGAGATCTTTGTGGTCTGCCAGGGTGAGTGCTAGAGTGGGGGGAAAGGGAATGGGTTGCCAACCAGGTGCCAGATGAGTATGGTTGAAGGGAGTCTGAGCAGGCAATTAATAGATTTTTGGCAAATCCAGCATGATACAACATTTGGGGTTTGCTTTGTTATCTGCAAGTAGTGCTGCAGGATATACAAAGGCTGCTGATGGACAGGGGATCTGCTGCTGCCTCTGTGTGGCCAAAACATCTGCAGCCTGCAGAAGGGTGTGGCAAGTCACCACTTCTGACCATTCTAGTATGGTAGAACTATCCTGTAAATAATTCTGCTAATTCATTCCCCAAATTCTCTGAAGCATGGCTTGAAGGCATGTGATGTCACCTCTGTAGAAACAAAGTAGGTTTTGATGAAGTCAGTGCCTGGTTGGGAGGCTGCCTAGGGTCTTCATACATGTTATCTTGAGCCTCAGAATGAGAAAAAAATATATCATTTTAATCAACAGTGGCTTGCTTGGTTATGAATGTCTTTGCTCTCATCTCTCTTTAGGTTACTTGGCTCCAGATAAAATTGACAATAAATTCTTTGACCCCAAGTTTGCCTTCAAAGAAGTGGAGGTACAGGCCAAGTCTGTGAGTGAACTGGTATCCCAGAAGAAGCCAAAGGTCAGTATGGAGAACATTGCTTTTTCTCCAACAGTAGCTATGAGGGAGCTCCTGATGATAGAAAATGGTCTTAGCCAACCACTCTGAGAAGGGTATTCATTATAGGTGGAAATGATGATTGAAGGGTGGGAAGATTTGGTGTTTAGACTATAGAGAATTACGTTGAAAGAGATGGCTCTTCCTTGAGACCACATTTTATACACCTGTTTTCCTCTTTGTTTTACTTGTGTTTCAAACAGGCAGAAGGATATGAAGATGGAGCCACAGTTCTTTATAACCGCTGCACTCTGACGGACTTTCTAAAAGCTTCCAATCCAGTGGACTTCCTGGCCAAGGCCAGTGAGGTAAGGATTGAGCAGCAGAAATGGAAACTTTTAGAGTGTGGGATGGAAGGGCTGGACTTTGGACATTGTTGGGTTATCAAGATGTCACAATGGTAGGAAACAGAGAACTCTGATTAGGGTGAAGTAGCAGTGAAAGCAACTCTCCCATTGTTTTTCTGCTCCGTGCCTTGTCTCTTAGATTGTCTTTGACAATGAAGAGTTGGAACACCATAGTGCAACCACTGAGGAAATGCGCCATTGTTGTCAAGACATCCGTGTTCTTGGACGTAAGGAACTCCGGTATGGGCATTGACTTAAATTATAAGAATGGGATGTAGGAAGCTAAAGAGGCATAAAGTCCATTCTCGTGTCCTAGCTATAATCATCTGAATATCCCAATACATGCTAGTTCATGCCAGTCATTCCCCAATCCACTGAACCAATTAAGTATCTTACTTGTGAGGTTTATCTGAGACACAAGAATGGTAAGTGTAGAGTCTCACTGCCTTCTTCCCCTTGCTTAGGGCCCTGCTGAATTGGAGAACAAAACTGAGGCGGTTTCTGGTGAAGAAGTTGAAAGAACAAGCGAAGGAAATAGATATCAGGTAAGTGAACTTAACCCAGTCCTGGGAGGTTAGCTTGGAGTTTACTGGTGGCAAAACAGGGGAATCATCTTGATTTGATGGGTCTTCCTGCCTGGCTGCAGCTATTCCACCAGCCTATGGCTGAGGGAGAGATAAAAGGCAGGGCCATTTTATTTAGTTTGCTAAGATAGCATTCCTTTGGTTTCTTTCCTCCTCAACTAGTTTTCTGTTTGTTCCTTGTCTCATTTTGACTGTAAATCTCAGTGAAGGGACTGCTTTGCTTTTACTGAAGTAAATATCAATAAAGCGTTTTCAGCTTTATTATTATTCTATAATAAAGATGTTGTCTTTTTCACCATTTCCAGTTTAAGTTCTGGTGAGGAAGAAGAAGGAGAGGAAGAAGTGCAGCCCAAGCAGACAGCTCCAGAAATCCAAGATGGAGAAGAAGAAGAAAAAGAGGCTGAAGAATTGGAGTTACAACTTGCTCAGCTCAAAGCCCAGGAGATGGCTGAACTAAAGAGGTGAGTTTGGAGAAAGCTTGTAATTTTGTAATTACCATTTCTATGCCTATGCCATTTTGTAATAACCATTTCTATGCCTCCTAACAAATGACTGCAATAAGGAATCCAGCTTTGTATAAGAACGTCAGAGGAAGCTTGGGAAATATGTTAATTGCACGTTTAAGCTTGTTTAGGTATTATAGCTTGACCCAGAACTCAGACCAATTTTCTCAACTTAGAAACTGTCATATGTTGGAGTATAAATCTAGACATCCCAGTTGGGGAAAGGTAGTCTTAAATGTTTTTTGGATTTGCGAGGATGTTAAGACTGCTTGCCTCTTATAGCCCCATATTGGAGATCTGAGTCTGGAGCAACATGTTTGTAAAGCTATCACAAGCAAGGGTGACAGGGTGGAAATTGTGGGCATCATCACAGTAGTTTGAGAACTAGAATCTTGAAAAGTCTTTTTTTTTTTTGGTCCTCTCATTATTCCTGTCTTTAGTATGGAGATATGAAAAACACCAGGAAACTGGGGAGAAGTTTTGTTGTGTTTTGAAGTGTTTTCCCACTCCTCCAACTTAATTTTTCCAAGAGTTGACATTTTGGAGAACACTGGAAATCCTGTGAAATATGTTCTGCTTTAGAATTTGTGAAAAGCTTCTTAGAGTAAGATTTCCCTAATTCAAAATGTATAGCCTGCCGATTCATACATTTTGCTCAAATTAAGATGAGTTATATATGAAAAAAGCGGGATAAAATCTAATCATCATCATCATAGATCAAGGGTGGTGGAACTCAAGATGGGGTTGGTAGGATCTCCTGATCTGGTTTACAATCTCCTTTTCTCACAACCTCTTTCCCTGTGTAGCAGTTAGGCTGCTTTCATATTCTAGGTTACTCTTTCTTCTTTAAGATTTATGGAATTGGGAAGATGAAGAAATTTGGGCTGAGTGGGTTGGGGAGACAGCCTTTCCTCTCTCTTTCTCTTCTTTTCATGAGCATGCACATACTATACATACACCCCATATATATTTTCCTACTTTCTTGTGTTCTGTGACCGTTCACAGTATTGAGAATTCTGCACAGTTTTAGTGCAGAATGGAGCTATTTTGATCCCTCTTTGAGGATAATACTTTCTTCAGAGCTCTGATGGTTTGCCCTGAGCACCGATTTCCAAACCTCAGGGTTCTTTTAATATTATTTTCCCCCACCCTTTGTTTCTGACCACACTTCATCCTCAGATCAGATTATAATGCAGAGCGGCCTCATGTGATGCACTTCAAGTTGTTACAATCTTTTTCTTCATCATCACCAGGAAAAAACGTAAAATTCTACGTGAGCGCAGGCGCCAACGAGAACGTGTTGAACTGAAGATGGATCTTCCTGGTGTTTCTGTTGCAGATGATGGGGACACAGGGATGTTCTCTCTGCGGGCGGTTGGCAAAAACCAGGTAATAGAAAAGATTTGAGAACATGCCAGTTGTGTAGGAGGTGACACTGGCTCAATCTAAATCAGGGTGAATGACCTGTAGCTGTCATGTGTTGTTCATAATCACTCAGTCTTTCCTATTGAGGCACACATAATCCAGCTCTGTCAACTTGTTATGCTCCACAGCTCATGAATGGCAAGGAGCAGGCATCTTGAGATTGAGCCTTGATTAATGGTTGGGAGTTTATGTGGGAAACACATTGACACACCATTCAGTGAGAAAATAACCACCAAGGAATTGGGAATGAGTGAGTAATCTGCACTAAATGACAAGGCAGCACACAAAGATTATGTTGTTAATGCTCTCACTATAGTTCATATAGCCAACTTTTGCTTAAGCACTTTCACCCCACGTACACCTTTCCTCCCCCACTACTGCAGACTGAAACCATCCATGAAGGAAGAAATGAAGCCAGTGTAAAATAGTGCCCCTATTCCCAAACTTCACAGGTGATCCAGTAAGGTACCATGATTAATGGTATCAGAACCACCAGGAAGTCTAAAAGAACCAGGAGAGGTGCACTACCCTCATCAAGGTCCTAATGCAGGTCATCCAGGAGAATGAACAATGCTATCTCAAGTTGCAAACATTTCTGCCCTTTTATATATTTTTATTTAAGGGCAAGTGTTTTAATTAGGCATGAAGCTTTTCAAGTATCTGTATGACACTGAGCCTGGTTTTGGCAAAAAGAAAAAAACCCTTTAACCTTAAGAGGATAACATCATCCCATTTCCATCAGGGCAGCTCACCTTGCCATACAAACACAAGTATGTGCTCTAACAGGTTTTAGCAGAATTAAACAAAAATTCTTTCCACCACTCCCAGCCCCCAAATGGTTAGAAAAAGTCCATGCCCACATACTCAGCATACCCTCAGCTACCTTGCATCATCACCCAACCCACTATGGCTCTTGGTGTCCAAAAAGTATTTTATTTGTCTCCACCAACTTCATTTAAATCATCACAGAGAATGTCATCGGAAGGATTAATCTGTGTGATCATACCTGCCATCCCTCCCCCCACCCTCCACCCCTGTTTGCTTTCAGCTGCTGCATGAGTTGGTCCAGGGTGACATGGCAGCTGCAGATGCTTTTGTGGCATCATCCGGCAACGCTGACAGTGATCTCTCTCTCTCGGAAGAAGGGGGCTCTGAGGATGATGTCTCTGTGGCCAGTGAGTTGGATGATGAGGAGATGGCAGAGGTTGAGGAGCGGGCTAGACAACTGAAGCAGGCCCGCGTCCCAGAAAGGTAAGCAAAGGTGCCAGGGAATTGGTTCTAGTGTGGTGGCTGATTTGTGGCGGAGATTGGCTCTATGCAAGTGGCCTTTTCCTGGAAACTATGTTAACACCTTTCCCACACAGAAGAATTGGAAGTCAGTCCTAGTACAATATATCATGTAACTGACACTGGGGAGGGGGAGAGAGCTGTGCATCTGGGGAAGCGATGGTGGATTCAGTATGTGCATGCACACCTAATGATTCATAGGAACCCACCCATCCCATTTCCTCAAATTAGCTGGGAAGGTCCAGTTGTCTTAACTATGCTGCTGTTTCATGGGAGTTTGATTGTTGATTGTTTTCATTGCTTTTGCATACCACTTTGGGTTCTTTTCAGAGGAAGACTGCATCATCATCATCATCATCATCATCATCATCATCATCATCTAATGGTTGTAGTAGTAGTAGTGTGCTAGTAGTAGTAATATTAGCAATAGTGTTATTTAAAAAGCATACCCTGATCCTAGAAGATCCAGGCTTTCTTTATTTCTCCCCCCCCCCCCCAAATCAATGTAGTAATACAGGAATTTTGAAAGGCTCAGGTGAAGAGAATATTGGTCTGCTCAGTACTGACAGGGTTGATTCACGATATCTCTCCAAGATTTCAAGCATGGATCTCTTCCATTCCTATCTGGACATGGTGGGGATTGAACCAAGGACTGGCTGCATGCAGATTAGATGGGTGTAAGAGGAGCAGAGACTAATCCAGTTATTCCTCAATAAGTAATTAAGGTGGGATTTCATTAAGAGCAGTTCCTGGATTTTGCTGGCATTGGCTGAAATATGCCTTTATGACCATATAGGTTAGGTTGGAGTGTGTCTGTGCTTTTCTGGAGCTCTGTTTTATCTGTTTCAGAGTTGCCTCTGAAGAAGAGATGGAGGAAGAGGATGCTGAAGGAGGAAACCCTCTGTTAGTGCCACTGGAGGACAAGGAAGAGTGTGAGCAGCATCGGATGAGCTTATGGTTTGGCAAGGTGAGTAGGCACTCTTTGCCTAAGAGTGTAATGCACCCTTCCCCAGCGTGGTCATCGCTAAGAATTCTGGAAATGGAAAGTCACACAGGTAGAGAGCACTCAAATTGGGAAAAGTTGCCACAGCAGTATTTTCCATTACATGTCCCCCAGTGGTCTGAAGTGCCATTCTTATGGCATTACGTGAGACTGTTGCTTTAAAACTACTGAAATGCCAGGGGTTCACAAAGTGACATGCTGAATAGCAACCAGTATTTCCAGAGATGATCTAAATTAGTTTTGTGTTTCCTTGGTTTAGGAGGCTTTTGCTGAAATTGATGATGATGCTGACGAAGCGCTAGAGATCGGGCAGGCACAAGTTCTGTCCCAGAACCGGGGAGAACTCACACCAGGTAAAATCATATTTGATTCTGCGGGACTAAGTTGGATGAAAATATGGGATTGGGGTGGACTGGATATGCACCCAACACCTCTTTGAGGTAACTTGGATGAAACTGGAGCATTTGGGGGGCTATCTCTACTTGTCCCATATCTTTCTTCCCTGGTAATAATTATACATGACTATGTAATGTCATTGCATATGAATTAGCTGCAATTCAAAGTAATCCCCAAAGCCCAATTGAGATTAGGTTGGGAAGTTTGAACTGCAAAAATGAATGTCCTGCAGTGGCTAAACGTTAAGAGAAAGAGGACGTAAGACGGCTTCTTCATTGGCCTTTGTTTCTGTATGTGGAATTTTACAGATGTTATTGTTTCACACGCCTTCTAGGCTCTTTGGGCGTTGCTATATCATGCTTTGCATATCATTAAATTAAATATAATAGCAGTAGTAAATTTGTGTGGTGTTGAATTCCAGGTCACTTAAAATAAGTATCTTGGAGAGAGGATCGCTGCCTACATTGCACTTTTAAAGGAAAAGAACAGAAACAAGGTAGCAGCTCAGCTGAGAATGGATCTTGCCTTGACATTACAATATTGAGGGCTATTTATTTAACTTACTACTTTAGGAAGCTCAGAATGTGATAAGATATTCTCCTTCAACCTGGTGCCTTCCTGCCATGTTGGATCTTGCACATGTTGGACATTGTCCTGTACTATCTGGGCATGATGCGAGTTTGTTTTGTTGATTGCAAATCCTACTCTGCTTTTCATTCAAAGTAATCTCCAAAGCAGGGCACTGTTAACCCAAACCAGTAAAACCACGCAAAATTCCAAATGTTAAAATCCTAACTCAGAACCATGAAAACCTAAGTTCAGTCTAAATCTTGGGCCAACAGGCAGGTCTTTCTTGCTCCTGGAAGCTAACTGTCCTTGGCACCAACTGTAATGAGAGAGAGAGAGAGTTAGAATTCTATAATCAGGGTATTTATTTTAGGACACATCAGGAGGGCATCGTGGTGGGAGGAAGTGTAAAGGTATATCTTTATTTGTTCAGAATAGTGTAGCAACCTTAGGCATTGCTTTTGGTGCTGTAGTTAGGATCATGCCCAAGTATGTTACCTTCTAATTCAAAAAGTAGTGCGAAGTAGTGTAATTAGAATTGCCTTCTAATTCAAAAGTAGGCTCAGGCAACTGGTTTTTTTCCTTTGTTGCCCTGCCACCTTCTCCTTTAGCAGTAGTTAACATTTTATGTCTGGCATCCATGTTTCTGTGAATTTTGATGCTGTATCTTTTTTCATCTCCTTCATAAATCTGAGTGCCAAAGAATCTGGGGTAATGAGTAGAAGGAAACAAGGGAGGATTTTTCACTAATTTAAATGTTTTAAATCCTTTTAAGTCTCGAAGAGTGGCAGGAGGCAAAAGAAACTGCTACAACGTGGAACTGTGCCCGAATCAATGAGCAAGGAAGGTCTTGAACCTGAAGGAACTAAAGATTCATCTGAAGGGGAGGCCTCTGAGGGAGAGGACAGTGACAGCAGCGATGAAGACAGGTTAAGTCATCCGAGACTGAATGCATGTGTTGCATTAAGCTGTCATATGTTTTTTATCATCATCATCATCATCATTATCATCATCATTATTTAATAATATAATTATATTATAATAATTATAATAATCATATAATAAGAATTATTAAGGTAGCATCTGAGAATATAAGGACTTCCTAACAGGATGGTTTTTTGTAAAATTAGGGTGCTCAGGTCCAATATATTCAAAATTTCCAAATATCGAGGAAGTTCTTTAGGTATTGCTCCAAGGGCTCCAGTCATGATTGGTATAACAACGGATTTATTTTTCGACAAGCGTTCAACTTCGATCTGCAATCAGCTTCGATGATCATGATGATGATTATTTTGGCTTAGTTTCTTGAGTAAATCTGTCCACTCTGATATATAAATTATGGTTTATGGCTTAGTTAGTGCATGAACTCCTCCAGGTATAGATTGTTCAGTAAATTATGGCTAAAGCCATTGTTCAGTACAGTAGATAACCCAGGCTTGTTCTGTTCATTTCCTGAGCTTTCTCTGTTGCATTTGAGATGGGAGGGTGAGGGGATTGGTATTGCATTTTGGGAGGCCCTTCTATCCTTTCCCTCTTCGAATTCTCTTCAAAGTAGAACGAGAAACATGACCTTTATCTATGTAGTTTGCTTTTGGCTGAAAGTGAATAAACAGCCTTTGAAAAATAGGAAACCCTAAATTGTTTCTGTGCAGCAAAACCAGTTCCCAATGTTCTGTGAATTTTTAGCACAGAGATGGGTGATCTTCAACCATCAACTCTGAGCTAGTATGGCCAATAGTATCTGCAGTTGTAGAAGTTTCTCACGCTTGCTTTAACTCAGGGAGAAGCTATGTCATTTTTTCCTGTGCTGCAGTCCTAAACATCTCCCCTCCCCACTGCTTTTCTCACAAATGCAGCCCACAGGAAAGCTGTCCCAGTAAGTGGCAGAGGAAGTCTTTCTGTCTCAAACATGGAATATGGGACAAAGACTTACCCTTCCCTTAACACACAATACAGTTCTGACCCTAGTCTCATCTCCTTTCTCCCCAATCCCTGGGCTTCCTTTATTTTTAGAAGAAAGAAACCAGTCCCTAATTTGATCTAGGGTAAAATTTCCTCCAAACATGGGAACCCATCCATTCTGAACACAGTCAAGGGTGATCACTAAATCTGTTGCTAAAAAGAATAAATGTATTTGTATTGTTTTGCTGATAAGGTAGAGATCTGTTTTTTCCGCATTACAAAATATTTGCCCCAGTTTTAAAGGAGGTCATGATATTTGTCTAGGAAGGCATTTTGACATTGCTTTCGTTGAACGTCTCAACTGTTTCTAATATATTGCAACCTTATTATGCAGTTAAATTAGTTTCTTTAAACAAATGATTTGCCATTTATAAGCTAAACATATGAGAATAAGCTTGCTCTGAGGGGAGAAAAAAGCTATCAGATTTGCTTTAGTTTTAGGGACAAATGAATTATATAAGGAAATGTTGATATTAATTTCTTAAAGCTTCTTTTAACATTTGACATAAACTTGGCCTGTGCTTCCCCCAATGGCCTCATTTCAATATACTACTACATGAATTTACTAGAAATTTAAGCCAGTCATCATAGGACTTTTCATGCTGGCATCAAATTAATTTGCCAGCAATTCATTTTTTAAATACTAGCTGCATGAATGATGAATGTCAATTTTTTTAGTATCCATATTTTCAGATCTGCACTATTACAAGCAACTTTCATCTATGTATGGCCAGCAGTGAGTAAGTCTATATTTGAAATGCAAATTTCAGCTTCTGTGACACCTCAGTAAATTTTGAGGGGTGGGTAGTGCATCTGAAGTGGCTTTCCTCATTTCACCTAATGGGATGTGAGAGAGGAGATGGTCCTTCAACTCCACCCTGTGTTTCTGCATTTCAGGTTGCTGTCAGCCTCACAGGCAGGAATGAAGCATCTCCAAGAGAGCCGAAGTGGTATTGAGGTGGTCCCCATTATAGATCCAGGTAAGCAGCAAAAGGAGAAATGAAGAACAATTGCATCTCATCTGTTTCTGCTTTTCTAAGAACAGGGCTGGGATGCTGGTCCAGAATACTGACTGCAACTTTTATCTCTCTCCAGTGAAGCGAGCTCGGGTTCTGGACCCTGAAGGACTGGCATTAGGAGCAGTCATTGCCACCTCCCGTAAGGCCAAGAGAGACTTGATTGATGGCTCTTTCAGCAGGTGATTTGAAAGTACAGGAGCACTAGCAAACACAGCTGGAAAAAAGAGTGTTGAGTAGAGGAAGAGGATAGGCCACAGATGAATGAGGTGTGCTGAAAAAGTTTGCTGAATGCCAGTTAGACCTATGTAGCAAAGAGCAATTGTTTTATGGGGGTTTCATGCACAGTGAAATCAGCAAGTTGAAAAGTACTGATGTTCTCCAAGTCTGGGAAAGGTGAAGAGTTTTGTGCTGACTGCTGTGGCCCTTGCCCTCCCCCCTGTCAGAAGACAAGCATTCAAAAAGCAAACACCATTTTCTTTCTTCACCTGTACAAAAGTAAAATGTGCACCCATTTTTTACTAAAATGGAGAGAGAGAAGCCTTGGCTACCTGATGTTTGGGGAGGGCTCCTCTGACTGGTCCCCTTATTCTTTTCCTGCTTCCCAGGTATACTTTCAATGAGGAGGAAGGGGAGCTACCTGAATGGTTTGTGCAGGAGGAGCAGCAGCACCGGCGCAAACCATTGCCTGTGGACCATCAATCTGTGGAGGAGTACCGCCAGCGCTGGCGTGAAATTAATGCTCGGCCTATCAAGAAAATAGCAGAAGCCAAGGCCCGCAAGAAACGGCGGGTAAGTGAGGCTGTATTCCCTTATAATTAACCAGATCTTATATAGTCTGGTTGCCTTATACCCAACCAGCATATAGTCTGGTTCACACATAATACTAAACTAGAATTTTAGCCATAGTTATTGACCACATTGCATTTCGTCATAATGGCTAAGTTCACAGAAGGCCAGAAGCAACCCAGCCACTTCATTGCTTAGCATTATGTATACACCAAACTTCTTTGTTCATCTTGATAAGTAGGGTTTTGTGGGCTTCGAGGAAAGACTTTCTTCTTTCTGTGCTGAGTGATTCTTTGAACTAAACGTACAAAGGATTGAGCCAGGTACAGACTCATACATACACCCACACACAGACACCTCCATGCTTTGGGGTCCTTTCCTGTAATGACTGCTCTTTCCTTCCCCTCAGATGTTGAAGAAACTAGAGCAGATGAAGAAGAAAGCAGAATCTGTGGTGAATACTGTAGACATCTCAGAGCGTGAAAAGGCTGCCCAGCTACGCAGGTGGGTTTTCCCCTTTCTCATAAGGTTCCTCCCCCACCCCCATGAATTCAGTGATTCCTAGAGGCAGCACCTTATCTCTTTTGTTTAAGGTTTTTGTGATCAGATAGCCTAAGGCTCCCTGAATTATATATTAGAGTTTCCCTCCTCTTTATGAGAAGTAGACATAGATTACACAAGATTTCAGGTGGCACAGAAGAAGCTTGGTTGACTTCATTCAGAGAATTGTATTTCAGTGAAAAGGGAAAGAATGCCTTGTTAATCAGTACCAGAGCAATCCTTTTGTAGGTCAGTTCAAAAGGCCACAAAATAGCGCACAGGTTTCTGAGTACACAGGAATCCATCCGTCAAGATGATAAACAAAACAAAATTACAGGAGGGAAGAATGAAGCTGCACTTAGTTTTAGATGGAATGTGGAAGTAGGTTGTCAGTGCTCAGGTTAGACTCTTATCTTATGTTGAGATAGTTACAGGTTTCTCCAGGACAAATAAGCAGTAGTCAGTCTTCCTTTAAAAAAAAAAGTTCAGCCACGAAAGGTCATGGTTTCCATCCTTAAGCAGAATCCACAGGTTCCTTGGTAGGTGAATAACAAAGTTAATTTGAGTTGCTTGGCCGAACAGTTACTTGAACCTGGGCTTCTGTCCTAGTTCAACATTGTAACTGCTATGCTACATTGACCTCTAAAACTTTTTGTGAGATTTCCACACAAATTAAAATCTGGTCCAATTTAGGACTGCTAGGCTTCAAAAGAGAAGAAATGAAGAAAATAAGAAGTAACACTTCTTTGAACCATTTCCTGGATCCCTGATAAGTTTGCCAACTACCTTTTGTGGAGTTACTGTCATCTGGTTTCCAGTTTTGGATAAAGACAGAGCCATGTTAACAGGGGTGGGCAACATATCAAGGGCTGCAATTCAGTCTCTTGATCTTCTGGAGAAGTCTATAGGAGAAGCAGCAGCAGCAAAAAGAAAGTATTTGTATCCTGTGGGGTGAAGGGTAAAAAGGAGAGCAGTTTGACACATAGAGATTTCCTCCTCCCATGCCTGTCCTTGTTTAAAGCAGGATGAATATGCTTCTGAAATTTGGCCTTTTTTGTCACCAAATTATATGGTAGTCCAATCTAGGTACATAGATGGCCAGATGCAGTGACAAAAGAGAATGAGAAGAAAGTGGCTTGGACTGAGAGCACTGAAATCTGGGGGAACAGTTTTTCAGTTTGATGAGAGATTCTGAAGGGAAGAGTTTTATCTGATCTTTTTTTTCTCCTCTGACAGCATCTACAAGAAAGCAGGTTTAGGGAAAGAGAAAAGGCAGGTGACTTATGTTGTGGCCAAGAAGGGTGCAGGCCGGAAGGTTCGACGCCCTGCTGGAGTCAAGGGCCATTTCAAAGTGGTGGACAGACGTCTCAAGAAGGACATGAGAGCACAGAAACACAAGGAACAGAAACCAAGACGGAAAAGGCAAAAGTAAACTTGTCATAACCTAATGTTTTTGTGAATAGAGTGGGCTCTGTTGACTCCTTGAATACATTTGGATCTCAGAGGAATATTCTGGGACATATAACCACATAACCTTGAGCTCATTCAATGGGCTAGTCCTTGTCCAATAAACTGCTTTTATGCTATTCAGCCACTGATGATGTAAACTATGTAAAGATCAGGCATGTGACACTAGGATTTATCACCTAGACCACTTGTCCTTGAGGGCTGTCTTTTCTTCAAGGTTTTGTACTTATTTGTGTTTTATTAAACTTTTTTTTTCCTGCAAAAGTTATTTTTCAGACTGTTTTAAATTTTCTTGCCAAGAAAGAAAATAAAGTTTGCTGTAACTGAAGATTTCCCAGAAGTGTATGAAATAGTCAGGTGTTGCCCAAGTTCAAGAGGAGGCCAGTGGAATAAATGCAGAAAATCTTACTAGGTGTAGAGTGCAACATTACCTCTGCTTTAATTTAATTCTTAATTCTATGACCACTTTTATCTGTGATTTTGTTTTAGGGTGACATTTAACTTTACTGAACAGATAATTTAAGAAAAGTGTATCTTGCATACTCTAAGGCAATCTTCTTGTGGTCCTCAGTAGCAGATTTCTCAGGAATGTATAGGTAGGCCCAACCTGCCTTCAAATTCTTTTATGAGTCTTATGTTAGCAGAAAACAATAGAAATGTTTTTTGAAGTTAATATTTACTTCTTTACCTTCTTTAATCCAAAGATGCATAAGTACACATTGCATCAGCAAGTCCCAGAAGGTCTAAGATATTTTTGTTCTGTGTTTGGCTTCTCTCTTGGCCTGGCTGAGTGCTTAATGCTAAATTATGGCCATGTAAAGCAGACATCTTTCTGCAAGTTCTATTTCTGAGACCTCTTGAGAATGAAAAATGTCCTTCAGATATGGGTGATAATGCTATGGCTAAATAGAGATTTCACATTAAGCAAGCTTTTTTTTTTAAGCTTAGGAATTTTTGTTTGTTTCTGCACAGTGCCTCCCACAGTGTCCTCAACTAATGCTCTCCAGATGGGTTGGACTTCATTGTCCATGCTGGCTGGGGGGAATGTTTGTGATGGCTACGTTTTACGATCAGAAAGCACCAAGCACATCATTGCTTCAAGTTTCTTTATTTGTTAGTTTGATATTTTTAAAATGTACAAATAGCCTTGAAATAGAACTTCGGGTTTTTCCTATAATCTTTTCAATAGTTCTTATAATACAACTTTAAAAGATTACTACACACATAGCTTACCTTTCGCTTCTTGCATCTCTACCTACATGAAATAGCTAATACTCTTTTCTCTTTTTACGCATGTACACACTCTCTCTTTAGAGATATACACACACACACACTTTCTGTATGCAGATCTATGGTGAGAAAATTATTTAAGAGATGGGGAAGGCTCATTCTTCACTTCAATTGTTCCTAACATGAATGTCTACAGCTAAAATATAATAAATGTCTGAAACCAGAATTCACAAAACTGATATAAAATCAGCACAGAAGACTAAAAGTTTAATAGTTTTAAAGGATTATAAAAGGCATGTATAAAACAATCCATCACAGTTTGTTTACATATCACATTGTTCTCTAGTACAAATAAAAAATGAAGTACCACAAAATACTGATCGACAACTTCAAATATATCAAAATTTTAAGGGTAAAAAGGGGGTCAGTTTTTCTTTTTTATATCTTTAAACTGGACTTGGCCTGGACAGCACAGCAGAAGAGCCCTTAAATAGCCTTTCAGACAGAGGGTTTTCCTCTGTGAATTAAGAAATATGTTCTCTCTAAAATAATAACATCACCATCTCTGTATTAAGCCATTCATTTAGCACAGCAGAGGGCAACCTCCTAAAGGTGCTAAACCATTCTTTTTTACCTTCAGAGCCACTTCTCTCATTTATAAAAAATGGGCAAAAATGTTTTCCTGCCATTTTAAGGTATGAAAAATATACAGTAGAAACTATACTAACAAATAAACTTGAAGCAAATTTTAAAATAAAACTCTCCAAATTTCCCCAAAATCTAAGGGGAAAAACACATCTTGGTTCAGCCCACTTTATGGCTCATAGATGCCCACAAAGTTATATGCAGTTTCCAGCCAATCATAGGTTACCTACTCTTGTTTTAGCAGTTTATAATTTTAAAAAAGTCCTATTGTATGGACAGTGCCTTGCACAGGAAGGATATTCTGGGGATAGCACCATAATCCTAGGGCTCCCAGCTGGGTTTTTAAGCATTGAACTTTCTTTCATGGGGATATGATCTCCTGCATCAGCCTGGCATTCCATTGAATTTCTTATTAAACTAGCATTCTACAGTCTTGGTTCCCTGACATGAGTCTATGAATTGTAACTTTCAAATTACTATAGAAGTAATCATAAGGGTATTTTATTCATTTAATATAATTTAAATGAAACTGCATCAATTCCCATTTTGCTCCATACCCCACCTACTTTTTAGAACGTAGTCTGTACCACCTCACTTGAATGTCAGATTGGCCCTGAACCCAAGCTGCACATTTCTGCTCACTTTCAAAGGCTGTTCACTCCAAGGCTGTTCTAAAGGGAGAGCTTAAGAAGGGAGAGCAGAGGGATGCTGAAGTTGCCCATCAACAGTTGGTATCTTGATAGGATGTGCAAACCATGCAAATCTGGCAGCATTTCTTGCTCAAAATTTGACCATCCTAAAGCTGGGTATAAAGTGTGTATGGAGCCTTTACAGGAAGATCCCAATGCACGTAGTCCCAGTTGGTACAATCAGTACATCGTAAGGTCAGGTAGGGCAGTTTTGGATCTGCAAGCTTGGGATTCTGTGTGTTTAAACACATATAAGAAAACCTCAATTTGTAGACAGTCTAGATTGGTGAGGCTTTCGAAATGAGAAGCATTTGCTCTGTATCAGTAGAATGTTTTTCCTTTACTCAAACCCAAACTTTTCTATTATCTGCACCGTTTTGAAGAGGGCTGGACGCAATGCAGTATGAGTAGCTGCCCTGCAATGCTAATTGGAGTGATGTTATTCAAACACAATTTCTGAATATAGCAGGAAACTTCTCCTTTGCCTGCAGTTTCATATCAGATACAATTCTAATTGCCAGCTCCATTTTGCTATTACTGTATCAACACTGCTAGTTCAAGACCTGCTTCTTAAGGAGAACTTGAATCACATGCAACATTGGGCAATATCCCGCTGTTACAAGGAAGAAAACTCCATACTTCATGTTCATATCTAGACACTTCCTTTAGATCACAGATAAGAAATCTTCTGATAATAAACACAAGAGTCTTAATTGCTAGGTTGGCCTTTTAAAAATGGTTCTTCTGTGCTATGTACTACCACCATGGATTACTTCTAGCCTCAGCCCCAGAACAGAGTTTTGGGTATAATAGATCTCACACAGGCTGTATTCCATGTTGGCTTTTCCCTAATATTTCCAAACACCTTGCTTAGTGATTTAGTTTCAAATCAGAAACCTCCAAGGCTGAAAATGTTTAAAAGGAGAGCCAAACCCCCAAAGATGTCATGTTAGAGTGGAATCTTTTAAGAATTTCAGAGTTGGGCCTCTACATTCAAAATGTAGTAAACTCTAACCTTCCTTTTGTGGTTTTATAGAAATTGTCCATTCAAATGTTAGAGCTTTAGCCAGCTTACAAGTCTGCTTAGGGCTCCCATCACTCTTTAACCTCAAATACCTGAGAATAATGCATCCTGCACATATTCAGAATATATTTATATGCCTTTACTTTTACTGTTTGGCCTGCTGGAAACATTTTAAGTGAAGAATAAAATATGATCCGGCTTAGTAATTCTATAAACCTAAACACAAAGAGTACAGTGTTAATAAAGTAGCAGTCAGTTAAAACAAGCTACATATGATTGGGTGCATTCACAGAATATGGTGATATGAAAAAAATTCCATGTTGGAATGTTCCATGTTGCTAGGACTCAAGATTGCTCGGAACAGCCTGTTTGGAGACTATATCACTTCCTGGATACTTGAAATGGCCTATATTGCAATCAGAAGAATCTGAAACAGGAATTTTCCATGATGGGCATGGCCAACCACAGAACACTCATTTTTCCAGGGGGTGAATTAGCCTTCCAGGTTGCTTTACTGTCCTAGTGAAATCTTTGCATCTTCCAAAGACATTGCTGCAGTGTGATACTAGAGACTGGTGCTTTGTTTTGCAATGTGTAAGATTATGACTATGGCTATTAATTTTTTATTATTATTTTTATTATTATTATTATTACTATTATTTTAATATTAATATTAATAGAATATTACTATTACAACTGTTGTTATTGTTGTTATTATCTATAAGAAAAAGGTGGGGCAGAGAATCCAGAAGATCAAAATTTGGCAGCACACTGTTGCCCATGTCACTGTGTTGCCTAATGCAGCTTTGCTGAGTGACTCACCTAGAGTTTTTCACATTATGACTTCCTAGATCCAAGTGATATACCTCTAAAAGTAGATTCAAATGTTTTGTCTATGGAGACCTAAGGCACTTCTTTCTCTAAGCTTTACCACTTATTTGAATTAATTTACCTTCAGCAGTAAAGTACATGTTATAACCAAAGCCCTGGATGGCAGATATATGATCAAACAGGCCATGTTTAGTGATGACCAGACAAGAAAGATGGATTTAGATGGACACAGAAGTCTTCCTCTTGTTCTACTCACTCTCTCTAAAATAGATTCTTTGGAAGAGATCATATGTAGTATTTTTTTATAGTTAGGTAACCAGGCGGTGCTACTCTTTTTTCCATTCAGGGTATAATTGATTCCTGGCCTTGTTTGGGAGAGAAATGTACTTGTCTCTCTTCCATCCTGACCAGTGTTTCTTCTGAAGCTTCCATGATCAGGAGCACTCATTGTCTCTCATCCTTTTCTCCACACATCTTCCCAGAAATCTCATTAAAAGTTTCTTGCATCATTCTGCGAGTGCTCTCAACTAGTGCAGAAATATCCTGTAAGTCAAGGCCTTGTGTTTCTATCTTGGGCAAAATCCGAATGGTTATATTACCTATTGGAGATCAAAGGGAGGCAGAAAAAGAAAGACAACAATAATGTTATGTAGACATTTGGAACAATTCCAGAAAGGATTGTGTTGCTCAAGAAGGAGATAGGAATGGCATACCAAGTACCAATATATTCTTGCTGCAGCTGATGTTAGGGGCACAGAGGACTCATTTAAATTACAGAATGTTTTCCAGGAAACAGCTTGGAATTATGTCACATAGGCAATTCTTTGGAGGAGCTTTGAATGATTATCAATATGGACATTGCACTGCAGCCTCAAAATATAATTGCTTTAATTCTGGAGTAAGCATAGTTTAGTCTGGACAAAAAGTTCATTACAGTATGTGCTAAAACTGTATCTGGATGCTATCACTTTGGAATGCTAATGTTAATACTTTACTAAAGAGCCTAAAATTACATAAAGAAATAGCATTCGTCTTTTTTGAAAGAAAAGGCTAGAATTTTCTCAAATAGAGACACTATCTAGTCTCCCTCCAAGGTTTTTGTTTTACTGAAGCTTATTTAACTGGGTCCATCTGGAAATAAATTTATCATCTTGTCTGCTGTTTGTATAGAAAAGACCTTTTGTATATCAAGAGTAGACATAAGTAAATGAGGATCAATTTGCAGATTTCTAGATGAGACCTCCAACTCCTAAATGTTCAGCAAGAGAAACATTTAGATCTTCTAACGTTTAGTTAGAATCCTGGTTATGTACAAACATACAGATCTGTATTTGTGTATGTAGGTCATCCACAGATGTGCTTCCTAGGGTGAACAAGAGACTGTTCTTTTTCTCCAGGCTACCATTTTGCATCTGGGTCAATGGATCCTGGAGTTCTGACAAAGTAGATCCTGTAAGCTTAAAAGTGGCCCATCCCCATGCTACATGATCATCGCCTATTCCATGACTATAGCAACAGAACAACAGAGGAGACACTAACCTCAAGCTGGATAGGGGAGTATTCTTTTATGGGAACCAGTAATGACAAAAAGGCATATTAGTTTGGAAATGTGAAAATATATCTTGAGTATGAGTATGAGTATTTGTAGGAAGAACAAGGATCTTGTAACACCTTAAAGACTAATGTATTGATTATCCTGTAAGCTTTCAAACATCCCAGACCTCTTCATCAGATGCATAAAGTATAATTCTGGGAGAGGAAATGTTCATAAAAGTTGACAACTTTTAAAACAGTTTATAAAGTTCATGAACTATTATGTGATAATAAATTTGTAGTCTTAAAATGCTACAAGACTTTTTGGAAAATAATTTCTTGTGTGTGAGAGGAAGCTGTAGTTTCAGAGATAGAGGGGTAACTGAAAATATCATGGCATTTGTGGGCTTCTCCAAAAGGCACCTTCCCCAGCCTGGTGCCTTTCAGAAGTATTAGACTACCATTTCCATTGTCATTCAACCAGAATGCCCATTTAGAAGAGAGAAGGTTGAGGAAAGTTACTGCAGAGAGTTAATGTGAAATGACAAACCTGGGGCAGGTATTGTATTGCATTAATTGTCATGTTTATTACAGCCTAAAGACCCAAATCCTGGGCCTGGTAGGAATAAATATTGCTGCCAGAAATGCTCTACTTATAGTTTTATAATTATATTCAGTAATCACCATAAGGTTCTAGAGTCTTTTCCAAAGGAAGCCAAACCCAGTATTGGCCCTTTGAATTTGCAGGATATAGTAAGATATGTATAGTATGTATAAGTTTGGGAGAATATTATGAATTCTAAGAGAATGTGTTTGTTTGTTTGTTTGCTTTCAGGCACAGCACATACTTTGGGCACTAGAATTTGAAAGCACATTTTATATTAATGGCCAGGTATCTGTGTGTGTATGTGTGTGTGATAGATATAGATATAGATTAGATATAGATATAGATATACAGTACTGTGCAAAAGTTTTAGGCAGGTGTGAAAAAATGCTGTAAAGTAAGAAT